ACCATCTGTCCACTCGCCTCTCAACCCTAACCACTCTTATTAATTTCTGGTGTCTTCTGCACCTTGCTCTTTTCACCTAAAAATATCATGGAGACCTTTCCATATTAGTGTACTGTTGCAATTAGCTACTTATTAGTGATAGAAAAGGAGCAAAGGGGAACTTAAAACATTATAGGCATGTCATTTGGGCAGCTTCACCAGGAGGCTGTATCTTTGCACTGCCTGGGGAACCACTGGCCTATTCTCTGAAAGAGAGCTGAGGGAAGGGGACTGGACAAAGGAAAGGCAAAAGCATGCCCAGTAAAGTTGTGGTAACATAGGGAAGGTACTTTCTTGTCAATCACACAGAGATCATTGGCCAGAATGGGCATGTCCACTGCAAGGGCCAGAAAATTTGGGAATACGTAATCTCCTAAACAAAGGAGTTCACTCTTCGTTGCTCTCAGCTCATGGGGCTCCCTCATTCCTGCTTCCTTGCATTTGCATGGACCATACGGACCCCCCACATAATGGACTGATGGAAGGCAGCAGGAAGCACAAGCTAAGCTAGCCTGATGCTGGACTGGACCCAGCTCCAACGTGGAAAGGAAAGTCTGAACACTTGACTCTGTTGAAGCCCCAGCTACACTTCTTCTTCTACGACTAGACTAAGTGGAATGAGACTTTGGAAATCCAGGATGTAATCCATGGAAATAAAGCTTCCTACTGTATCTCATCCTCTGAGGCGTGTTCCTATGCCTCTCTATATTCAATGTCCTCTGTGTTCCCAGGTACTTATTTTTATTTTTTAATTGGGGCAATTACACTTAATGAGATCTACTCTCTCAACAAATTATAACTGCACAATACAGTACAGTACAATACAGTAATTATAAGCACAATGTTGTATAGCAGGTCTCTAGAACTTATTCATATTGCATAACTGAAATTTTATAATAGCATTATATCAACATAGATGCTATGAAAAGTTTTCTGCAAAGTAAAATTCACAGTGGCCTGACTCCCCCTTCCTTCAAGGAAACATAAAACTCAGGATTTGGTATTCTCATGCTAATAATACCTAGAAGATAGTACTTTATTTTAGCACAAGAGGACTGTACTATTCCAATGTTCCTAAACTTGACTCAATTACATAAGAGCTAAAGAACATTCTAAATTTGACATATTTGTTTCTTTAGCATTATATATATATATATATATTCCCTTTAACTTTGAGTAATTGGAAATGTGATGTTTCACCATTTGAATAGAACAAAGTGGTTAACAGTACAGGCTTCAGAGTCAAGTAGATATAGATTCCAATCCCAACTCATTTGCAACAAAATAGCTTTGTGATCTTGGGTAATTTCCCCATAATTTGAGGATATAGAATTAAGGTCACTAGGTTTTGAAGAGGATCAACAGAAAATGTATATAAATCACATAGTAGTTTAAATGATAGCTATCATCATCATCATTATTAGTATATGCATCAATTCAGTGGTAGATTCTGTACTAGATTTTGAGGAACAACAATGTACTAGTATATGTCACCATCCTTGCTCTCAGAGCTCACAGTGCCGAGGGAAAGGCATACCAGCAAACAAAGATTAACATTAATCTATAACAAAGCAGCATACTAATAAATGAAAGGCTGTCTCCAGGGAAGAAAAAAGTCCTGGAAATACATTTTACATAACAATTATCTTGAAGAGTTAAAAAGTTCAAGACAGTCTCCACTGGATGAGACACCATATATTATCAACTTCAGTTTTAATTTGTCAAAGAATATATAGAAATACGCAACACTACCGCAAGGCAGTAGTTATTTTAACTTGGGGGTGTGTGAATTTGGAAGACTCTTGGACCTGACAGTACCTTTGGTCTCAATTTCCTCTTGATAATGTAGACCCATATAAGGGTGTAAGGTGTGAGGGGAATCCTCTAACATGATTTGCTTCTCCTGATTATCAACTATTTTCCCCCATAAAAGCAAAGTATGAAAAGTGGCAGGGAAATGGTGATTTCTATGCACAATAAGGGGGGTAGATTTCTATGATTTCTATGCCTCCCCGACCCTTTCTCCTTTTTGTATAACAAGTAACAAATGTGAGTTTGGTTTTGCAACAATAAAACACACACACACACACACACACACACACACACACACACACACTGAAAAAACTGCACTTTTCCAAGAGGAATGAGAAGCAAATGCTTCTGGAAGCAGGTCCATAAGTCCACACACACACACACACACACACACACACACACACACTGGGAAAACTGCACTTTTTCAAGAGGAATGACAAGCGAATGCTTCTGGAAGCAGGTCCATAAGTCCACAGGCATTTTACTTTGTTGAAGGTGTCTGGATGTCAAACATGTCATACCCCTGCTTAGCACTGCTGCCTACACATTCTGTGAGCCAAAACTCAAAGCAAAGACTCTGCCATGGCCGGCCGGCCCCTGACTTTCCACAAGAGTTCCAGAACTATAAGACACCTTTTAGGTATTAACTGTAAATTACCTATCTTTATTTACTTTAAAGAAAGGCATTAGTAGCAGCCAGTGGCCTGCACCTCAGCAGCAACCAGGAAATGAATTCCAAGCCAAAACCTTTCTGGAGAGGAATTAGCTCTGAATTGAGTTGTCTTTTGACTGCAGTTCTGCAATTCTTGTCTAATAGTCTGCCACATATTTTACTGTTAATTCATAGGTGTATGTCATCAGAAATCCTAAATCAGATGGTCTTTTGTTGAAAATGGTGTGTTATAATGTTTATCGCCACTTCGCTTCAGTATCAGTAACAGTTACTTATTAATTAGGAATAAGGATGAGAATTGGAAGCAGTTTCAAACCTTGTGGCAAGCGGGCAATTTACAGATTTATATCAAGTTCTAAAACACTGAGAACATTCTCTACTTGAAACGCTGCTGCCAAAAATCAGTATCTGAGATACGTCTTGGGATATTAAACATAAAGAGTCGCTCCTGGCAAACTAACATCCACAGACATTTCTTTAAATGCGTCTTAATCCATTAGCATCTCACCACCAAATTCATTGTTCACTTCAAGCAGGCTGCGCGGTTTAGCTTCAAATTCTCCCCTTTACTGCATCAGAAGGAAAGCCTGGGCATTGGGTCTGCGCACTCCAACTCCCCACGCGCGCGGGTTCTGAGAGCCTTGCGCACCAATGCAAATTAGTGGGGGCTGTTGCCAGAGGTTCCCTAATCCTGGAGCGACCCATCACCCCCTAAAAGCCCACAGTCCTTGTAGGTCTCCGCTTCCTCCAGAGTCAGCTCGCACCGAATCCAAGGCAAGTTCACCCCTAATATTCAAATGTGTGCCCTGTAGCTACTGGTCCACAGGTCCTTGGCGCGGCAGCGCTCGCCTTCGAATGCTCGGGAGAGATTTCTGAGCCGAGGCGCTGCTAGAGCTCCCATCAACACAAGTTTCATCGTTTGAGCCAGATCATCTTTTGGTTCCACCTTTGCGGGTTGGCGGCTCCGGGTTCGGCGGTTGCCCACCGCCTTCCAACTTGAAGCGGACTCATGGAGCGGATCAAGCGCCCCTGGTTCCTGAGAGCTACCTGGATGGAGACGGTGGCGGAGCGCCGCAGGAACGGACACCCGCGCTCCCTCCGCGCCCCGCAACTGCGCGTCTTCTCCCGGCGGGTCCCAAGCTGTGGTGACCCGCGAAGCCCCCGAGCGCAAAAATCCACAGCAATCCGCAGCCTGGCGAGCACTTGGGAGGGAAGAGCAACGCTCTGCTGGTTAAATGTCAGGAAGCGACCGAGCAAACCAGGAGGGCAGACCGCGGTCAGAAACCGGAGGGCAAAAGTTTACTTTCCTGAGCAAGTCCAGCAGCCGCAGCAGCCCCGAGCGGGGAAGCGAACTCCGGCCGCGAAGCTTCTTCCAGGGGAGTTCACAATTCGTGAGTGGGTCCGGGCCGCTTCTGAGAGCGAGGTCTCTGCGGTTTGGGGCGCGCCAGCGGTGCAGTACCCAGGGATCCCTCCTACCAGTCGAAGGAAGAGAACGAAGTCGGGAGCAGAGCCGGACAGAGACTTGGGCGGCTACTCCAGGAGCAAAACCTTGGAAATGGCTGCTAAAGGGGCTGGGTCTCCAGACTCTTCACCCCGCCCCTTTCTCCCAGCGAATCCTTCACCTGCTGCCATCCAGTTTACAGTATACGCGCGTAGACCCTAAATGAGACCCGCTCCAGAGCGAGGGGGCACGCTTCCCTACCGTCCCTTTCGCCATCTGCGCGAGCCTCAGGAGCTCCGGGGGGAGATGCTTCGCGACGAGCTGGCAGGAAAGGTGGGATGAGAGGGGCTTGTGTCCAGGGAACAAAGTGTAGGCTCCTCTATTCGAAGGACCTCAGGGAGCCCCCTCGGAACTCCCCGGCTCTTGGCAATGAGCCACTTCCCAGGTAGGCGAGAGGAGGGGCGAGAAAGTGGCTTTGGGGGGGCGATGATGGGGACCGGGTTCTCCTTTAGTCTGGCGACCTCACTCCGGGTAACGGGGCTCCAGGAAACAGCCTGAAGCCCAGAAGCCGGAGGGGCAGGGCCCCCGTAGGTGGCGGAACGGGGCTGCAGCGCGCCACCGCCTCCGGCTGCCATCGGCTCACTCGTGAGGAGTGGCCGCGTCCTCCCGTCCTCTG